GATCAATAGTTTCACATCCGCCCCGCATGTACATAGCGTTGTACATCATCTTTTGGATACATCTAGGTATCTCACAGAATCAGTACAGACTGTGTTCCATTTTGCAAATCAAGACATTTCATCCGCGCAGAAAACAGTATTTCAATTGACAAGATATATCCATCATCTGTCGCAAGTAATATACACATGGCTACGGCATAAATCAAGGCTACGGCCAAAAGCCAAGAAGCCAAAGATATTTCATATCTAGTGCCGGCGATCAAAAGAAATTTGTGTCTGTTTTTGTGTCTGTTTTTGACCAATGTTGATTGCCCGCAACCATTTGGCTCAAGGCCCTTCTGTACCATAGCAATACTCATGATTGCGTGACAAAGGAACCTTTGCAGGCCGCTTACAGGATTATACAGCAATACCATCCACCAGGGACAATCCATCTTCCAATCATCCATATTGGCATATTGGACTCTCTCCGGAATAGATCCAGGGACCACATAAACAACCTCTACTACCACAAGGTACCAGTTTGCTTCTGGGATAGGTACCCCCGGCAGTGGGCCTCAATTGTGGTAGCGGAGCAGGTTTTGCGCAGAGATCCAAAGAAAAATGTCATCCGATGGAGAAGGCTTCATGGAGGCCTATTCAAGTATGGCCAAATCATCCGGCTATACGGAGGAAACACTCAACTTATCGATGGCCGCCAAGCAGCCGCCATCGTACGACGGAACAGTCAGCTGGTTCAGGTATGAAGAACTCGTGGACGACTGGGTGACAATCGCCACGGTGGAAGCACCCAAGAGAGGACCACTCCTCAAAATCAGACTCACAGGAGATGCTTACATGTACAAGGCAGTCCTCCAAAATGACCTTTTGCAAGATCCTGATGAAGGAGTCAACTATTTCAAGAACACGCTGAAGAAGTACTTCCTGAAAGGTGCGACCAACGTGTATCTGTACAGGCTCCTCAGTTTCTTCAATCGCAGAAGGCAGAACCAAGAGTTCCTCATTTTCACATCCAAATCCTCCAGTCCTGCTAAATGAGGATGATCCGACAGTCCTCAGACAGTACATCACGGGAATGCAGGACAGACAGCGGGACGCATTTCCCTTCGGGGATAATCTCATTGCGCAGTTTTTCATCATTCAGAGTGAATTGTCAGCGCCCTGTCACTGATAAACATTTCACTCGAGAACTACTTGTATGAGATGCTGAAGACGCATTACCATGAACTCTTCATCACGACCAGGACATCCATCCAAGATCCATCCATCCGACCTCCTTCAAACAACCATGAAGAGACATTCTGGGTCCTCGAAGAGAACGATGCGTTCATAGCAAGAAAAGTGTCATTGCGGAATTTCAGGTTCAAAAGGAGAAAAGGAAAAGGAAAATCAGGAAACAAAAAGGGCAGTCGCCAACGAGGTGGCTTTAAACCCTTTCGAAAAAGCGGTTCTGGCGGGAAGGCCAATATGGCCAATGAAAACTATGATCCCTACGACCAGGCGTATTGGGGAAAAGGCAAAGGAAAGAAGGGAAAGAAAGGAAAATCCAAATTCCAATATCCCTATGATGGAAACAAAGGTTATCCATCCTATGAGAATGGCAACGGAAAAGGCGGACATGACAAAGGAAAATCCAAAACGTTCGCAGCCATCGCAGAGAAGCCGGAGGAGCATCCTGCCACGCAGCAAGTTGCTGAACTCCAAGAGCCTGCCTATGCCGGTTGGACAGACCAAGATTGGGATCAATCATGGACATGGAACGAACAAGGCTGGTACTCATCCCATGAGACATCATGGCATTCCGCATATCAGCAGCATGAGAGAGAAGCCATCCACGGGAGTGCTGGATGGAACGGGGCCTCCACCCCTCAAACGATTTCGCATTCGGCAAAAAGGACCAGCTCCTTGGGCTGTAGCAGGTCAGCCTCACCCTGCAGTTCCAGAACCACAAGATGCTTGTGCAGAGGTCGCACCCAATGAAAAATCCAATGGGTTGACACGTGCCCGTGCAGCAGTTTCCCATGAAACCATGAAGAAGGTTATCGACCTCATTCTAAAAACGTAAATCCAGACAAGGTCAGCCTTGGATAGTTGCGAGCACGTTTGCATGAGACTGGTGACTTCGATCCAAACTGGCTTAGTGAGCAATGGGAAGATTTCATAAAACCCATTGTGGTTGCAAATGTCCGGAAAAGAAGTCAGAGGTTCAACGTGTTGCTGAATAAACTGCGCAGCGCGATCAGGCTGTGATACAGGTTACGGTGAAGCTGCCGATGCTGACAGAAGCACACAAACCAGAGTGTACATGCTGACATTCCCACATGTGCCACATGGAACAACCACAGAGGATGGGATTCTTTACAGGATTGTGGGGAAGATGAATCACAAAGAGATGCTGTGGTATGTTATACAGACCCTGCTCAAGGCACAGACTTTCAACAGAGTGCCCAAGGATGAGCATGTGCAAGTACAAAAGGCGGCCGTGTTCAAGGAGCGCCGCAAAGAGAGTGGAGAGATGCATTACCATGTGGCAGTGATGTTGGATCGGCATGCACGCTTCTGCCAGTGGAAGATTTTCATGCAGAGCGAGCGTTTGGCGTGCAATTTCAGATATTGGAAATTGGATAGTATGGCAAAACGGGGACACACGCCGCGAACTGCAGACAACCAGTGCCGCATTGTGCTGCGCTACTGCTACACCCCGAGTCCCAAGAAGCAGTTGCAGGACATGGACACAAGGCCGCTGCTTTACGCATGGAAGGACGAACGCCATCCGCCGCTGGACGAGATGACATCTGCAGAATTGTGTGTGGAGACCCAACACGCCGGCTGCAACGACTGCGCAAAAATGCCGAGGAAGGTAAACGCAGCAGGGAGAAATTCCAGGATGTGGACCTCTGGCCGATTGTTACTAAATTAAAAGTGGACGCAGCCCATCCACAACTGATGGCGCTGCCTGCTGCAGAAGCCAGGAAGATCGGCAATGCCCCGATGTTGGAATACCTCTTGCGGAATGCAACCAACCTCTGCCAAGGTTGCAGCGTGCCAGGTGGTTGAGTCTGCGCCGGATGCAGCTAAATATGCCAAGACTGAAACTGCCGACATTCTATGGAAACACTGCAACATCACGAAGTGCCGCTGCAGTACAAAATTCCTGTGGGTGCATCGTGCCAGGCATGTCCTTGCACAGAATGGCATTACAGAAGCAGAGTTCACCGGAGCAGTCTTACGTGATCTGCTTGAGGCACCGACTGCCAAGGGCAACGTGGTCACGCTCATCGGCCGCGAGGGAAACAATGCAAAGTCATGGCTGTTACAACCCCTGACCAGCATGCGCCTGGTGGGCAATTCCCATTGCTGGGCTTGCCATCCTGTCGAATCCTGTTGTTGGATGATCTGCGGCGGGATGATAGCAGCCTCACCCCATCCGCTATGCTTTCAGATTGCACGCCCCCAAAACGCTTATTTGGGACACATGACATACAGAGTGACACAACCGGTCTTCATCACTTGCAGCGCGGAGAATTTCCACAAAGGAGGTGGCAAATTCAAGAACGAAAATCTCCTTCAGCTCAACAAAAAGGCTCTGCAAGTTTGAATTTCACATTCGTACGCCAAAAATGCAGGCTTTTGGGTTCCGCCGTGCCCAGCCTGTTTTATGCTTTGGGTTACCAATGGCGGTGAGGATGCGCCGCACATGCTGAGTGCAGGATTCCCCTCGCGCAACAACATCATGCCATTGCCCGTGCGCATAATGAGCCCAGTGCATGAGTGGAGCCGAGATGCCCTGCGACAGCCTTTGGTCAACCTGCGTGTCCCAGAGCCGCAGAGAGTTGATGAAGGTGAAAAATGTCACCGGCAGCATCCTACAGACAATGGAGCACTTTGCACCTCAAGAACTGGAGGAGATGTGGGGAATTACCCGCTGGGATGCTGTCATGATTCTGGATACGGTGGCGAGAATCATGCAACAGGACTCGACCGTTATACAGACCAGATTGCCTAAACGCCTGCGGCCGTTGACTGCCGAAGAGGTCGCCCAACAGCTTGCGGCAGCCACAGCACCGGTGCAAGTTCCTGAAGCCTCCATGCAGGCAAGGTGGGAGAGAAGGTGAGAGAGATGCATCACATTTAGCGATCGGATACAGTTTCAGAACACAATTTGTCCGTAACAAATCACAGCCTTTTGGCAACAAAGCTGATGGCGCCTGTCATCAACCCTCAGCACAATCCGACCTATGCGATCCTGGACAACGGATGTACCAGATCCATTGGCAGCTGGCGTGCAATAGCGTTTTACTCAGGCCATCGAACCCATGAAAGACCTCATCTCCTATCAGTACATCCCGGCCGAGACCAAGTTCACTTTACGGAGAAACAGCCAAGGTAAATTGGACCTTGCATCTCCTGGGTGGGTGGTGGGCGGGCGGGCGGGCGGGCGGGCGGGCGGGTGGGTGGGTGGGTGGGTGGGTGGGTGTTGGGTGGGGGGTGGGCCCACCCACCCACCCACCCACCACCACCCACCCACCCACCCACCCACCACACCACCCACCCACCCACCCACCCACCCACCCACCCACCCACAACCCAGCCACACCCACCCACCCCACCCACCCACCCACCCGCCCACCCACCCACCCACACCCACCCACCCACCCACTCACCCAGCCCACCCACACCCACCCACCCACACCACCCACCCCACCCCACCCACTCCCACCCACCCACTCACCCCAGCCCACCCACCCACCCACCCACCCACCCGCCCGCCCACCCACCCACCCACCCACCCACCCACCCACGACTAAGATTAGTACCAACCGCAGCAAGCGCGAAGCGCTTTACGGATTGTGATTGGGCCCCAATGGATTTCGAACAGGCTAGTGAATAAGAGCAAGAGCAAGAGCAAGCGCGTGAGCAACCTTTAGTTCGGAATCTCCAGAATTGGGCTTGCAGTGGGGTCACACAAGCAAAGCACCAGCAAAGCGGCGTCCCATCAGGCCATCGCCCGAGCTGCAAAGCCAGGACTGGGCAGACGTCGGGTTGAGGTAGCTGATTCTGGACGCACCTGGGATGGGATTTTCCTGGACACGAGTGGGGACAAAGAGTGCGATTGGTGGAAGGCGGGGCGTCTCAGGGCCGCATTATTTTTCCTTCCCAAAAGTTGAGATGGCTGGGAGTCGACCTGTTCACCTCCTGGACAGGATGAGTTGCAGCCTTTGTTCTACCGGGCACCGGAGGTTCGGTCATTGTGCAGCATTTGGTTGATTCATTGCAGCAGTTTGGAGGTGAGGTGTCTGCAAGATGGCAAAATAGATCCGAACTCTTTGTTTGAAACGGATCAATAAACCAGTTTTCTTTTTTACATGTGCATGCATCTTGATTTTGGCCTGCGATTCTCGCAGGTGATCCTGGGCTACACTCGGGGTCGGAAAATCGATGTTTGGTCGGCCATTGCCTCGGGCGGAGGAAGAACACAACCCAAATGTTCAATTGAACAGTATTGTTCGTAGTATGGGTATGTGTCAAATACCCCCCGCAAACCTCAGGTGTTTTTCTTTTGGTTTTCATTTAACCCAACCTGAAAAGGGTTCCCGAAGAAGAAAAAACGGAAGAAACACACCCACATATGCACAGACTGCCAGGATTGCCAGCAAAAAGAGCACTTGCAAACAGTCAAATGCTGGAAGCTAGTCCAGCCACTTCACCACTTCTTTTCTTCGTGTGATGCATGAGGCTGCACTCACCATCTACGAGTTGATTGTTGGGAGGATCTACTTCCGCAATTGCCACACACCGCGCGAGGCGCGGGCGTTGTGTGAGGCAGACGTAGCAGAACCCTTCGGTTTGATCATGATGAGGGACTCCCCAATGGAAGCTTTCCTCGCTGTTTGTGAGAATAGCCCCAAAAGGAAACCTGAGGCACGCCCAAGAATGAACCATCGCTCTTTTCCCCCCAATTCCAGGTGCTGGAGGAAAGCATGCAGTTGCGCGGTCCGGTGTGGCGCCCAATGTGCCAATGGCTGTCAGGTCCGAGTGTGACGGCCAAAATAATTATCATTGGAGCAGAGCCAACAGTCCCCTTCAACCATACAGAGATCCCCCCAATTTTAGTTCGCAAAAGGCATCCCAGACGTGGGCTACCCACCAACAGAAATCGTTTTCTCTTCAAGGATCTTCGGGTTGCCTGGCGCTAGTGGAAGGAAGGATGAAAAAGTCAGTCGGGTAGTATTGCTGTTGAGTTGCAATGTAGGTGTCGCCTGAGATGCGGGCGGGCCGCAGCTCGGCCGAAAGCGCTGGAGATCTGAAATTTTCGGACATGGTTTGGGACGGCCAGCCGGCCCATGGAAGCAAACTCGTTTTTTGAGCTGTGGCCGATCAAAGCAGAAGTCGCCGGAGGATTTTCTTTTGGGTGGTTTGCCACTGGCCACTTGGGGGTTCGTTTCTTTGGAGGCCTGGCAGCGGCTTATTTCACCGCCAAGGGCTTTCACACCGAGGCGTCTGTCGGGCGTTGCCACATGTGATATACGCCTTTCTGGAGGGACAGCTTGAGTTGCCAAAGCGCCAGACTCGCCAAGTGGTTGACCCAGACAGCTACAAGCCGCGGCCGGGGTCCAAGTTCAAGTCTTGAGACGAAAACGCTGGCCGATTCCGCGAGGGTTGAGATTATAGCGAGGCCTCATATTGCCAACCATCTTGGTAGCTTGGAATTTGGGCTCTGTCCCATCTTGCAACACGGTAATGCAAATGTCTGAGAGCTTTGCCTTTCTCGAGGTCGTTATTTACCGAGCTGGCTCCTTTCGCTGATTACGGCAAGGTGGGGCCTTCGCGACGCTTTCAGCCAATTGCAGATTGCAAGCGCCAGGAGACCAAGCAGACTGCTCAAGAGCAGGATGGGATTGCACTGTGAGATGCTACACCGCGTGGCACTGCCATGCCCATGCATCTTTGACAAGAGGAATACATTGAATACATGTTGGCGGCTGTAGCCACTTCAACTTTGCAGTTCGCACACGTCGCAAGAGCAAAGACGCATTGCGAGCAGGCGAAATCTCAGCTGAGCCGCCTCATCGGGGCAACCACGGCGCTGCGCCCATCCTGAGAGCGTCCTCTCCGTTGCCAGTGATAGCAACGTGCTGCTTAGGTTGTGGGAGCTGCCATGAAGCGAGCAGGCGGGATCCATCTCGGTTAACATCATTGGGGACCGGGCGCCGATGAGCTTGGCATGTTTTGTACGTGTGGCCCAGGCCCAACAGCCGCCGAGAAGAAGCTGAAGCAGCTTGCAGAGCTGCTGGACAGGCCGATCTGGCACCCGTTTTGGGGTGTTTTAGTGGGAAACCAAGGGGCCACCACCCATCTTCCCACCTTCCCGTTTTGCGAGACACCCATTTCGTGACCCTTCTTGGACCAAGTTCACATTCACAGGTGCATGGAAGCCGCCGGCTCAGAATACTCCGAAACGCTCGTCGCTTTCCCGTGGTCCGCGACCATCTGGCCCACTTGCGCGAGGTGGACCCGCAGAAGCGGGCGACCTCGGCGGAGGCCTGCGAGCTGGAGGTCTTCAAGGCCGTGCCTGGGTCAAACAACGCTGGAACCAACTGAACCCTTTTTCCAATGAAAGGGGCCCAGAGCCACCCAAAAGCTTTCGTGGTCAAAGATGGTCAAAGCTGTTGCAGTTGAACCTGTCATTGGGGTGACGTGGAAATGGCAAAAGCATGAGGCCAGCTTTGGAGAGGGCGGAACACTTCACGGGACCTACCCTCAGAGTTCAACAAAACCATGTCTCAAGGAGTCTCCCGTTATTTGGGGAGTAAGTCGGATCTGTGAGTTTTAAGAGTTTCGCACTTTCTTTTTTTTCGCTAGAATGAACGCCGAGGTAAACATGACAAATGACGTCCACCAAAGGGTGTTCAGCCGAACGAAATCACAACTAGGAGAGCTAGTGGCCCGAAAGCATAACATATGGTGCGCGAAGCATTTTCTCTGCGCTTCTGATAGTGGCTCTGCACAAGTTTTCTGAGCAAATTTCTCTGAGCTCAAGCTCTCCGAGCAAGTTCTCTCAGGAAGCCGTGCAAGTTTCTCTGCGCAAGTTCTCTGGGCGAGATCTGCACGAGCACAATTGCACGAGAACACTTGCGCGAGAGAGAAAACCGTTTTTAAGGCGGCGCAGGGGGACCAAACCCGCTCTGCGAAAATCACACCATTTGCAGGGATCGGCGTGGTCGATGTGCGAAAAACACGGAGCGTGCGCAGAGAAACTTGCACAAAGCACTTGCGTGGAGAAACGTGCAATGAAGATTGCTCGCGGGAGTGTGCTCGCGCAAGTGTGCTCGCGCAAGTGTGCTCGTGCAAGTCGGTGTGTGCAAATTTGCGGCGCGTGTTCTCTCGTGTAATTTGCTTTGCTAGTGCGCTCGACGTGTGCTCTCGCGTCTCTTGCTACGCGAGGGCTCTCGTGCGTCCTGCTGTGCATGTGCTCTCGTGTATCTTGCTGCGCGATAAGGCTATCGGTTTTGCCGGAGCAACCCTTTGCAATGCTTTCGGGAAAAGAGATACCCTTCTTGGAGGGGTTCCAGATTAAAAAGCAGATGGGGGTGGGAGCTTCAGAAAGAAAAGTTGGGCGAGTACGCCATGTAAGTTTTGCCATGTGCTCGGCTAGCGTCTGAGAGATTCGAGTTTTGCCATTCGCCAGGCAGTTGAATTGCCACCCATGGTAGACCTTCAAGAGGCGGGGCTGAAGGTCGTCAAGATCAGCTCGCTTTCAAGCCGTGCTGAGGTCAATTCCTCGCCCTTCTAGTCTATTTCTTTTCTTTCACTTGTTCCATTTGTTGTGATTCGGCCCCTTGTTTTGACAGGCCCGGGGAATGTTTTTTTGTTGGCTCACATGTCAGGGGAATAATTTTAAACCGCTGAGTTCCAACGACCTGAGGCACCAGCAGGTATGCTGGTCCCTCTTTGCTGTTTCAAGGCCAAAGACTGGAGTGCGACATGACACTGATATCATGATAGGTCTTCTGTTAGCTGGCATGGGGTGGCGGCCCAACAAAATCCCATGCGCTTTCGCACCAACAAAAAGATGGTCGGGCTCCTAGACAACGTTACAGAGCACCTGTGGTTGTTTTGTTTTTCCCTTTGGAGCAAACCAACAGAGCGCCTGGGGAGAAGACGCACCTGAGAAACAACTGACCCAGGCAGCGCATTGGGTCCTTTGCGGGGGCAAACCGCCATAAACAAGCATAGAGAGAGTAGCAGCCTGGGAGAAGACGCTATTTGTTTGGCTTTGCAAGGCCTTATCCTTCGACAAACCCAAAAGTGCCAGTCGAGTTGCCCACCAACAAAGGCGCCGCCGCTGCCGGAGGAGGCGCCGCCTCCGCTGCCTCCGGAGGTGGGGGCACTTGGGGAATAGTCGTTTTGGTAGCCGGTTGCAAGGGAAAAGGAAACATTTCCCTTGGGGTCGGCTGCTCCACAAGAAAAACATCTCTTGTGTACAAGTGCCCAAATTGGATCTCTGCCTGAAGCCAAGGGCATATGCACGCATCTAGCCTGAACAGGTGTCCTTTTTTCGGCAAAATGGAGATCGCGATGCAAACCATGGTTTGCTTTGATGGATGTGCGCGAGAGGATGCCAACATGTGGTCCGCGATTTTAAGGGCCCCATCTTGATACTTTGCACCGTTGGGATGAATTGTGTTTAAGAAGGAAACCTAAAAGGGACCCCTCAAAATGACCCAGGCATGCTAAGAGGGTGTATGTATATTGTGCTCGTATGCGATATGCTGCTGTGCGCATGTACACACGCATGTATATATATATATATATCATAGGTGCCCTTACTGATGCTTGGAATCCTGTCCCAGATGTGGCCTGCAGTTTCCTTTGTGTGCCTTGGGGCACCATGAACTTGTCCAATTTGAAGGCTCCGCAAAAAGACCCCCCCACCAAGAATGGCTTAGCTTTTGCACTTGTTGATGTATGTGTTTCTGTGAAACTGGGTCGAAAACTCGTGAGCGTGCGTTCCGCCTGTGACTAAGGCACCCTGAAGTGCCTGGTGTCGAAGATCGTGAGAGTGCGTCGGAGGAAAAACGCGTGTGTGGGGAGGCCAAGCATTTAGAGGTATGGTTGAAGACAAGCTCGTTTCTCGCCTGGACCACACGGACGACCAAGTAACAGACTCGTGATATGCTCAGAGTCCCTAGGAGTTAGCATGTTGTTGGGAAAGGAGGCGGTCCCATCGACATTGTGGCATTCTTGGCAGAGCACAGTCAGCTCGCATGGCAACGTCCATGGGTAACCTCAGCTATTCTCCGGCTCCCTGGGGTCACAATGGGGGGTAACCGCAGAGCTTGACTGGAGCACGGTGCTGCTGCAGGCCTTTGTTTGGCAGGCTTGAGCTTCAGACTGCACGCCTTCCCGCTGGATCAGAAGCTTCATGTGTGATGACACGGAGAGAACCGACACGAGAGGAAGGATCTGAGTTGAACACACTCGGCACATGTGAAACCCGTACTGAAGCAGGCAGCTTGAAACGACGAAACGCCCAGCAGTGCGGAATCTTCCAACATGGAGGCTGGGGGCAGCCGAGTTTTGGACATCAGCCTCCTGCTTGCACGCCACTCACAGATGTGGCCCCAATGATTGGGGCTTAACAATGAAGGCATTCGGTTGGAAGCCTGGCATGTTTCTGGCTGCTCGGTTTTCCAGCCAGACCGGTGATGCTGTGCCGCTGCCTGATGCAGGCAGGGAATTTGTTCGAGGGAACAGGGACGTGTGGACGGGCACGAGGTGTGCGAGGCGTGCGATGGCCGGAGGAGGAAACAGAGGCCGGGCCCTTCGAATTGAAGGAGACCTCCGTCACCGGACGGTCCAAGGGTCCTGATGTTTGCCTCTCACCATTTTGAGTATTTGGCAGGCCGACGGCAGCTTCCTGGAGATGGCGGGGACCTCTTTCAGGTTGCGTCAGAGTCATATTGAATAAGTGACATGGGTTGGTGAAGTGCCACGTACCAACACGGGATTGGCCGGCATGTTTTGCACATCCGAGATGTCGAGCTTTGCGGAAAGCACCGGCGCAGCCGATGCTTGGAGGGCATGGATGCAGTTCACCAACCAGTGACCCATGCAGACAGAGCATTTGTGGTTCATGCTTGGGCCAGAAGGCCAGACTCGAGGTCGAACAAAGGATCTCAAAAGTCCATGCGAGGTACTGCAACTGCGCCAAAGAGCAGGCAGAACGACGTCCATGGAGGTCAGGAACTTGGCTTGAGCAAACTCTGCATGTTTTTGCTTGCTGACTCGCCATTTTGCCAGGAACTGTGGTCGGAACCCTATTTTCCCCTACCGCGCCGAGCGCCCGCATTGAGACCCATTGGGATCCAAAGACATCAAAAGTCATCTCATCGCCAAAGCGTTTTCAAGCCGACTGGATCCAAGCTGGTCTTGTATACGCTGGAAGGAGGTAGCACGTCGGTGCCTTTGGACGTACAGCCAAGTCCCGTCTGCAATCCTCATGGATTCACGGTGCCAAGCAGGGCGCTTTCGTGGCACGGCGATGCACGTCTGCCTGTGGTAGGTGAGCTCTGAGGATCAGCAGTTAGTGCCCACTTCTGAGACAAACCCATTCCTCAATTCTAAGACGGCCTGGAAGGGTTGAGTTTCCTTTTAATGGATGCTCACAGTTTCACAGGCATCCTCAGTTTAAAGTCGAACGATCTGCGTTTGTATGCGGGTCTTGCAAATGCAGTCCAGTAGCGCTGGAATCTTCGTCAATGCTGCAAGCAATGCCGGGCGAAGAGTTTCTGCGACACAGAAACAGTGGGCGTTCCCTTCTGTGCATCTTGACCAGGGTTTCAGATTTGTGTGTGTGTGTGTCTCATGAAGTGCTTGTCTTCTTCCTCGGGGGGGGGGGGGGGGGGCGGGTGGGGGTGGTGTCGACCAGGCATTTTTGCGGGTTCATGAAGTTGGAGATCCAACTCGCTATCGATGGCGCTGAGATCAAACGATTCAGCTCGGATCGGGGCGCATGATCCGGGCGGTTTGTGGCGCTTTCGCCCTTGCGCTGGGGGTCGCTGGCAATGAGTGCCAACATGGATATGCCTTCCTCCACCTACAGAGCAACTCGAGCGCGCTCAACAGCCGCCGGAGCAGCAAAAGCATGGGTTTGGGGTAGACCCCTCTAACCCCAGAATTTGATTGTGTCTCAAAAGACTTGGCACAGCCAGGCACAACTGCGACGGTCGCCGCGACAAGCGCACTCCACTGCCAACAGCCGGGCTCTGAGGTGATCTGTACACCACGCTCATGCTGATGTTGCGTCATTCAGGTCCTGTGTACTTCAAGCGAGCTGTCATTTCTTTGTCTTCGAGGGCAGCGCAGGCGACCTGTGCCAAGGCGACGCTTGTTCTGAGTGTTTGAGATTGACAGGCTGCTTTCTGCTGGAGACGTATACCAAGCTGGTAGAGAAGGCCGAGAGAGAGAAGAGCCGTGGCGGCGTCGCTTCTTTTTTGAACGGGCTGTGCCTTTGAGGCCACGGCCGTGTCCGGCCATGTGCACTGCAATCTAGACACGACCGAAGAGGAGACGGAGGCGAGATCGGTGCCAACGCGCCAAACCGAAAAAGTGGTCTCTTGGGCTCTTTGGCGCTTTCCGAGGCAAAGCATAAAGCTCGCATTACTCGGTCCATCCTGGCCATGACTGAGTTTGTGGCGAAGTGGAGCACGGACGAAGAGGAGGTGGCGATTGCGGAGCACTTGGCTTGGAGTGTGGAGAACGGCTTCCTTTCGGAGGAAGATTACGACAGCATCGCCGCCTTGAATACCGCCACTGCTATGCTGATCAACAGCCCCAAGGACTTCAAACACGCAGCGGCTCAGGGAATGATGCTCACGCGCGACGATCTGGATTGGTTGCTCCAGCATACCGTGGGCAAGCACGAGCAGCCAGAGGAGAAGGTGGCTTTGCAGGGCGACCTGGTGGATGGAAGTGAAGAGGAATCTTCAGGAGCAGAAGAAAAGGGACCTTCTGGTGAAGCACTAGGACCTGCTGCACATGTTGCGCTGTCATTTGCCTGCCCAAAACACCAGATTCACGATGTTCGGTTAAGGAGCAGAGAACCTGGCGGGGCGTAGATAGGTTCGTCCGCTGTGTTTCTTTTGCATTGTGTACACAATTACAGGCTCACTACAGATTCAGCGCTTCCGTCGATCCACGCTACTACTTATACAAGCCGGCCAGAAGGATAGCAAACAAACTGGGAGTTGGAAAGAGGGTAAGATGGTTGAGGGTTGTTGTTTTTTTTGCTGAGGAAGTATATTTCAATATGCTCAACTTCTTGTTCACTTTCACCATCGCTGTTTCCATGTTGGTGTAGAAGAGTGTCGAAAGCTTTGCATCCAACACCCCAGACCAAGAACCCAGAAATAACAAGCCAAAGGTGATTTGTTCTTTCAAACCGCAAAAACAATGATGTTCCCCCTCTTGGACACAGTTGAACACCAAAATGGACAAACACAAAAACATGATGGTGAATACAGCTATGAAAGTGAGCACAGTGAACAGGTGAACAAAGCTACTCATCTAAGCATCAACCATCTACAACCCCCCAATTTCCTTTACCACGTTGGCCGCAGCCAGTTTTCCTCCTCACAGAGTTTTCTTCTTTCGCACGTACCCCTGATGCATTCGGACCCATGCACGCAACTTCAAAGGCAAAAGACTTGCGCAAGTCATCACCCCTCCGCCTGACCGTTCAGGATTTTCCGATCTAGCCAGCTATGGAGCTGGAAAGCCCTGGACGAATGCCCAGGCGGGGGTGACATCACGCTTGGGAGTTTGGCCTGGAGTTGCCAAGGCGAATCTCAATGTGGGTTGTTCAAAAAGGTGCACACTATTTCCCAAGTAGCCAGCACAAGGTTTAGCTTGCCGTGAGTCACATGGAGACATCGCAGGTGCTGTACTGCTTCGACCCGAACATCGCTGGAACCGCGCGCAAAGCTGTCGAGTGTGCCATGGTGCCTGGGATGAAACCGCTTGCTCCGGTTTCCTTCGAACAACATCCCAAAGAGACATCCATTGGCAAGTTCTAGGCCCTTCACGACGCGTTAGTTCCATTTCGTTTTGGGAGACCTTGGGGTCGGATCGGGAGATCGGGACAGGGGAGGATCCGGACCAACGTGATGGGCATCTCGTTCATCGATGTGGGCTATTCCTCTGCCGGCCGTTGCGTCACCAAGCCGGCGATCTTCATCCAGTCCAGCGAGAGCGGATGTTGGGCGAACATTGGCATGAGCTCCAGCCTGTCTCTGAGCTCATGGCTTCTCCGAACCTTTCTTTTCAAATTCCCCCTGGCAGGTGGGGCTTTCAAATATGTCCCCACAGAAATGGAAGCTTTCAGAGGCCCTCGCCGTCCAAGGTTCGGTTTTGGGTCGAACCAGAAGTTGAATCTGCAAACTCCTGGCTGCAACGACTGCGGAACTGCCACCCACGAGATGTTGCACGCCCTGGGCATGGCACATGAACAGTCTCGACCAGATCGGGACAACTATGTATCTATTCTTTGGAGCAACGTCAAGAATGGTATGGAGGACCAGTTCACAACAAATTCCAAGGCTGATATCAGCCATCCCTACGACATCATGTCCATTATGCACTATGGTTCTATGTCCTTCACCAAGAATGGCATGGACACCATTCATGTGAAGCCGGCTGGCTACGCGCTTTATACACAGGATCCCGGCAGATTCAGATACTTCCGGATAGGGCAACGGATGCACATGAGCAAGCAAGATGTGGAACAGCTCAAGGACCTCTACGGCTGTGCGGGTCCCGACAACTCCCTTTGTATCCAAAGTAGTTCGAAAGCTTTGAGTGCGGCCACCTAGCTGCCAAGGAACTTTTTGCGATTGTTTTCCTCTGTGAGAAAAGAAATGGATCAAGGACCCGCGGCTAGTAAGTGGACCCGGGGAATGCCCGGGTGTCTTCCCGCGCTTAACCAGCATGTTTATGCTT